ATATATATATATATATATATATATATATATATATATATATATATATATATATATATATATATATATATATATATATATATATATATCCCAACAGGTCAGATAAGCTGAATTCTTTTCTTTCTGTGTTGTGTGGTTTATCCGCGGCATCTTTGAGGAAGTGGCACAGTAGTCACACACACTATGATATGACTTAAATTGACAGCAAACACAAATGCACTTTTGTGGTTGGCAAGCAGAAGTGTTGAAGAAACGGTTTGAACGTGAAACCACATCACGTTCCCTCCCAAGTTGCCTCAAATGTAAGCAAACGCGTTACCATGACGACACCACGACAACCCGTAACAAACGTCAACATTGCAGTACAAAAACAATACACATTCTGCCTGCCTTCCCTGTGTCAGCAAAATAAATGCTACGCTGAAGGCTTTAATGTGAGCCGGTTTCACTAGAAGAAAGCTGCGTGTTATTATGGATTAACTTGGAAAGGGATATTTAGTTTGGAAATGGGGAATAAATGTCCTCTAGTGTAAATGATTAAGAACAGCCGCCCTGTTCAAATGATAGCAGCGCCATCTTGTGGCAGACAAATGAAATAACATGACTGCTGCATTTCTGTTTGATTTTGGAGACCCTCACAGCTGTTTCAGGGTCAGTTTATTTAAAAAAAATCATTTTACTTTTTAAAATAAGACGAAGTTAACCACGCTTTTCATATGTTGCTAGGCTGTTGTTGGCACGAGACGATGTACGGCCGTTATAGAAGGTAACAAGTTAGGCCGGAACCACAAACGTTCATTCATTCATTCATTTTCTTTTCGGTCGCCACCATACATGCCAATACTGCCGTTTTCCCGGGAGTCTAGCAACATATGAAAAGCGTGGTTAATGTCATCTTATTTAAAAAAGTAAAATGATTTTTGCCCAGAACCACACACGTACAGCATGTTCCCAAAATATTCTAGGACCCATCAGCAGGGGTTTCCCTTAGGCTCCGTAAAAAAATATAACCACCTTGAATGGTGTGAGAATCATGGCAAATGCAAGACAATTTATATTTTGGGATGGAAAATGCTTTACTGTAATGGCTTCCAAAGGCCATGAATGATTTAATTTAATACATAGGAATGCTGCACACTGTAAATGTTAATTTTAGCTTTAAATTAATAAAGTTATTATTGATATCATGATTTTTTAGTTTTTGTTTACAATGTTACATTTATGCAAGCATGCGTTAAGCAAAGGCAGTAGGAGTGTAAACAAGTTAAGAGCGTCAACAAGTTTACAAACACTGTTAGACATAGTAAAGCCCGGTATAAATAATTTTGGACTTCAATGAACATAACGGGGACAGTTGATTCAAATAATCACTTTTTCCAGCAGTACAATATTTAGTTTCGTGCACAAACTTATTCTGTTAACAATTCATCACTGTGTTGTCAAGACTACAGTCACGAGTAATGTTTTGCTTAAATTTTTTGACTCATTGACAATAAATAACCAAGCACCATGGTTTCAGCAAAAAAAAAAACCATCTTTGAGCTAAAGAACAAGGTCACCCCGGGGTAAATTAACAGCAAATTTTTGTTTTTGGGTGAACTATCCCTTTATGAATGTCATGTCTTGAACATATAAATTAACTGAATGATGAACTCTAACTGAGGGCAGATTGTCCTATATAAAATGTTAAATAGCTTCTTTCATTGTAAAAACGGAACTGTGGGAGGTAAAGCTAGGTGTTCTGATCACACTTTCAATAAGGTCCCAGTAGTTAATGTTAGTTAATACCAGAGGTTTGCACTTTACTGTTAGTTCATGTCACTCAGATATAATAAATACTATAATCAATACAACTTTTTAAGTTAATAATATATTAGTAAATGTTGAAAATACACAAACAAAAGTTCATTTCAAAATTAATTAAGTGGCACAGTGACATATGCCAGAATAGTTGGAGGTTCATTCCGCTGTGGCGACCCCTGCTAAATAAGGGACTAAGCCGAAGTGAAATGAATAATGAATGAAAATTAATAAGTTGTATTTTGTTTATTGCTAGATTGAACAATTAACTACTAATAAATAAATCATTTGGGGAATATTGCAGCTACTCCCGGTTAATATCACAGCAGTTTGCTTAATATGTTCAAAATATCACTATTATAAATTATTTATATATATTTTTGTAGCCAAGGTTTTTGACATGCTGTTATTAATGTGGAGTTAGGGAGCTATAAGTATCTGGCTATATCTAAGCTATAAGTAAGAGCAATAAATATTCAAAAACAAATAACAGTTTCCCTATATAAAGACACTTAAGAACAGTTATTTCCAACAAAATCTTTATAAAAACTTTATTAACTTCACTCTTAACTTCACTCTTTGGAATGTTATTGAGAAACTCATGAATCGGATTGGTCAAATTTGTTAGCGCATCGCTGATTGGTTGAATTAGTTGATGCAGATGGGACATTAGTCTTCAGTCTTTTCATCACAGCAATGTGAATACAAAACAGCCACCAGACAGACTGAACTTCATAACATCTAAAAATTGAAACTGAAATATTTTTTGTTTGCGATAATCTCTCAGACGAGCGTCACAACTATAACAATTAAGAAAAATACCATTTCGTTTTAAATAGCGTTAAAAAAAGGGAGCTGTTACACCGACAGTTGGACTTCTCTTACAATTTAAAGTAGTTAACACTTTTATTACTATCTAAATCTTTCATTAAATATAATTCTCAGTGCAAAATGACATACGTTGGTTCATTTAAGTGGGAGAACAGTTTCTGGCATCTCCATTTCCAGCGGCTGAAAAACAAACTGCAATTCTGAAGTGTGAAACAGACCATGATGCCTTTGTCAGCACTTGCGTTCACTCTTTCTTAGGTCGTCCTGCCAATGCTATACAGCACAGATCAGTTTGTGCCTTTTGCATCCTTCAAATGTAATGCATTTCCTTGGGGAGAAGCTTGTTCATTAGCGCTCTTAGACGCTTCATTTGCTTTGTCTCCGCTTCCATTCCCAGGCGTTCCCAGAGTGAGTCTCCTGATTGTTCTGGAAAACACTAATTTCACAGATGGCCCGCAGACGTTGTGATGCCATTCTGAAGTAGGATGTCACTCGACACAACACAAGTTTTACAGATGGGCAGCTGAAATGTCTTCTGACATGTTTCTTGACATAATACAGAGGATGGATCAAATAAAGTGGTAAGATTCTGTTTCTAACTACTTAACATTGTCATGTGTACATCCGACCTGTCCAGATCTATAGAGAGCTGCAGGGATGATGGATATTTACTGGCTGAACCAGAAGTTAGCTTTAGGAGTATTGCAAGAAATAAACTCTGTGACCAACTAATGTTTTGTTCCTCTTCAAATAATAAAGCAACTTAGAAAAACCTAAATACAATTGTAGGAAGAAAGAAAAAAAAAAACAGATGACAGTCGTGTGCGTTTAAAGAGTTAATTCACCCCAAAATGACAATTCTGTCATGAATATCTCACCCACATGGCATTCCAAACCCATAAGACCTTTGTTTATCTTTAGAACACAAATTAAAGTGATAGTTCACCCAAAAATGAAAATATACTCACTATTTACTTGCCCTCAAGAGGTTTAAAAACCTTTACGATGCTCTTTTTTTCTGTTGTAAACAATAACAAGTCATTTTCAATAATGTTAGAAACTGGTATTGACTTTCATAGTTGGAAAAACACATATTATGTAAGTCAACGGTCACTGGTTTTCAAAATATCTTCTTTTAAAATCAACCAAAACAGGTTTATGACAAGTTAAGCGTAAGTAAGCGATGAAAGAATTTTACGTTTTGGGCAAACAATTCCTTTAAGAAGTTTTGGATGAAGTAAGGGAGCTCTCTGACCTTCCTGAGAGGAGGACAGCAAGGGCAAACATTAAAAGTTCAGTTAGGAACCAAGAACACTGCCAAAACAGTACATATTTCACTTGAGGTTTAACCGTATAGATGGTCGTATGGGTCTGGAACCACATGAGGGTGAGTAATTATTAACAGAATTTCCATTTTGTGTGAACTGTCCCTTTAAGACAGGTGTGTCAAACTCAGTTCCCGGAGGGTCGCAGTCCTGCACAGTTTAGTTCCAACCCAACTCCAACATACTAATGCCGTGGTCACACTAGAGTTTGTGTTTGCAAAATTCTGTCGTACGGAGCTGCAAAAAGGGGCAGGATAAAACCAGATGATTACTCGTTGATAAAAGCGAGCGATTGCTCCATATTTGACATTTTTGTACACAGAGGTCATGTGTTTTTAAGTACTAAAACGCTAACCCATTTCCAAGTTTTGGCCAATAAAATCAGTCATCCCTGCAGCACTCAATTAGATTTATCTTTAAGGCTTTTCACACTTTTAATTCTGGGTTATTGCTGTTCTAAACACTGTTTTTAACCCTGGTTTTTTTTTACAGGACGTTACAAACCCTGCTCCACAAATCCCTTTTGTGTTGTGACGTCAAATGTGTGCAATGAAAAATGCTGTTACAATGTTACGGTTAGCTGCTTAGAAACTAACAGCTAACCACGTGCATCATATTCACATGCATTCAACAGTTCTGCCATTTAACTTTATGCACATTTTCAAATTTGATGCGCATGTTGGCGTTTTTTGTGCGGATATCCAAAATGCACACAAAAATAGATGGATGGGTCAGCACCAATAGCCTATTGGTACTGTGCACTGACATATAGCGCAGACGTGCTCACAGCGACCCGAGTTCGATTCCCGGCTTGAGGTCCTTTGCTGATCCTTCCCCTCTCTCTACTCCCTTTTGTGTTGTGACTTCAAATATGTTTAATGAAAAACGCTGTTTCAATGTCACGTTTAGCTGCTTAGAAACCAACAGCCAATCATGTGCATCATATTCACATGCATTTAACTGTTCTGACAGAAACATTCCATTGTTTTAGCATTTGAAGCAAAGGATGATGCCAAATTGTGGAGGAAAATTTATCATTTGGAGTGATAAAGAGACCATTTAACTTTTAACTTTATCAGTTTGCAATATGAATATGAAGATGCACAAAGCCAGAGCCTTTTGCAAACATGTCGCATGCAGTGTTTGTCCAATCAGTAGCACTAGCTATGTTTCCATCCAAAGATGCAAATTAAGTTTAAGTGCAAAACTGGAATATCACATAAAATATTTGAGAATAAAGCAGCGTTTCCATCCAACGAGTCGAAGAAAACAAAATTGTCACTTCCTGATTAACTGGTGCCAAATATCAAAAGACAAAAATGGAATTTACTGCGGTAGGAGAAGCTTCTTGAATCTTTTCTTTATTTAATAAATTACTTGCGCATCAGAAGACAAACACCAATACGCAATGAACACATGGTGGTGTTCAAAGGCGTGAGACGCAGAACGCAGACGCTCTTGACAATTCTGGAGTTCATTAATAATATAATGACACTAATACAGAAATGGTTAAAGCATTTTATAATGACCAAAACAACAATTTTTAGATGTTTTACAATGTTCTCAGCCTGTTGGTTTTTTCCATTCACACACATTTTTATCATCACATGATCTCTTATAACAAAATCACATGACGTTTTTTAATGCACATAATGGAATTTGTTCAGTAAAAGTGTTTTCATCGTAGTTTATGTGCATCTTTTCTTATCGAATAAAAAGTTTATCCTACTCTGTTATGCGCATTTTCAAAATTTAAGCGCATCTTGGCATTTCCATCAACTGTTTTTATGTTCTTATCAAAAATTAGCATAAAATTAAGTGAATGGAAACATAGCTACTGACTCGATTAAATGAGGTTAACCCAGGGTTAAGGATTGTACAGTGTGAAACCTCAGTGCTTGAATAACCAGGATTAGTAGTTAACTCTGGGTAAATTATAAGCAGCGCAAAGAGAGATGACCCAGGGGCCTGTACCACGAACCTGGATTAGCCGACTAGCCAGTTAAGTTTCAGTTTAGTTTGCACCTATCTTGAGTTTTAGGTAACATAAAGGCAGCTCAACTTTATCATTCTTGCCATGGTATTTTAGCTAAAACCCTGAGTTGGTGCAAATAAACTGCAACATAACTAACTAGCTAATCTGGCTTCATTGTACAGCCCCCTGGATTACGTTTACCCAGGGTATATAGAGTAATCCAAGGTTAACTAGTTCAAGTGAGAAAAGCATCGACCTCTGCTCAGCATTGGCCCACGTCTATCAACAGTTTGTGCTCAAATGTGTGAAAAGGCAACAAAAACACGTTTAAAGGCACCATTGGGATGAAGTGTGAGTTACCAACTTAACAAACACATCTCCAAACATAAACAAGCACTAGAACACTGAAAATCCAGTGGCGTACAGCTCTGCGAAAGGGGCTTGAAGAATTCAACTAAAAAAATCCAACTGTTTTTGTTTCGTCTTGGTCTCATCACCAGCAACAAATGTACAAATGAACAAACAAGAAAAACAATCATCGTCTGGCTGTACAATCTATACACGGCACCCTCTAGAGGTCAGTTCCTCTTACTGCACGTCCTGAGAAAACCGCTCAGTCTTGACCTTGAGAGACGTTACGACAGCAATCTAGAAACGTTCCTCTAACAAATGTTTCCTGTTGGTCTGGTAGTCCTCATGCTTCTGTGTACGATTTCTGTGCGCTGAGTTTTTCTTTCTTTAGCTTGACTCCGTCGACCAGCTCAAAGTTGTAGTTCTCCAGGGCGGAGAGGTTTCTGTTGGTGGTGTGAGCGCAGGCGCAGTAGAAAAGTACCCCGCACACGGCGCCCAGCAGGACTCCCACTGCGCTCATCACGATGATGGTGATCAGGATGGGGTCCAGGCTCTTTAACATGGAGCCGCGTCCAAAACTCCACATGGTGTTGTCAGTGCCCTCACAGTTCACTAGAGAGAGGGAGAAAGCAGGATCTGAGCAAATCATGTAATTTTCCACAATTGGATTCTGCATCAATTGTGAGGCTTTCAAAATCCATCGCTATTCTCTCGTAGACTATACAACGCAAAGACATGTCACTCGTATAGCTTTTTATTGGGAAAAGTGTAACAGGTAATATGGCGGATGAAGCCCCGTCTACTAGTACAGGAGCCAATCAGCAATCACTATAGACTGACGTTTCTTGGGGGAGAAGCTCGGACCAGATGTGTTCTTTTACGACTAACAAACACACTAGAATCTCAGTGAATACTTGCTTCAGAGACATAAGAAATATATCCACATAAAGCTTAAAATCTCTACTTTTAAATGAAAGTACACTACACTGCTAAACTAGAAAACTTGAAGTTTTTTGGTTTTGTAATCTGTATGAACGAACGTGAGGTATAGTCCATCCTGTCAAATGCGCATGACAACAACTACTCAAACGCCCACAAGCTTGTAAACAAAATCGCTGTCATTTCTGGAGGGGATTCACCATCAAGACCAAGTTGCGAATTACTTCCGAAGACCAGCGCGATCCGATGATTATTATCTACAGCAGTAATGCCTAAACTAGGGACCGCGGACCAAGTTGGCCCATGGTAACCTTTGATTTGGCCTGCCATCCTATCTGAGAAGAGAGGGAGAATGATGGGGATGTTTCAAGATTGTCAATTCAAATTTAATGCAACTCTTTGTTTGTTTTATTTTTAAAAGCTAACTGAAATGAAATGTTTCAATTAAATGGTGTAAATTAATCAGATTTTGTTAAAATGTACATGCTGTCACCTGAATTTGGAGAGCAAATCAAATCAAGGCAAAGGCATTGTGTATTCAGCGTTAAATTCCACTGTTATTAATCTGATTGCTTATGTTTTTATTGTATTTAAAAAGGTATACAGCATTACTTCATACAATTTAAAGTAATGTTTTCTGTTTATTTTTAAATCTTATTAAATAAATTAGGAAATTACCCATGGCAACTTTAATGTAATATAGTTTGGTATATTTATTTTCAGCCCATGGCTCTCAATGATATTTGGTTTTTGGCCCTTCATACGAAAAAGTTTGGGCACCCCGATCTAGAGGATGATAATAGCCCCTTTCACACGTACAGACCTTTCCGGAAAATTACCGGCAATTTTCCGGAAAGGTTGTATGTGTGAACAGGCCCTTTTTGAAAATACCGGTAAATTCGTTCTGGCTATTTTCCGGAAAGAGAAGTTGTAACATTACCGGCAATTTGCCGGAATGCTGCGCTGTGTGAATGCAGAAGGAAGATTACTGTAATAAGCGCGTGCACGTCTAGAACGTGCTGACGTGAGACGTCTGCTTTAGCCAATCACAACAGTCAGACGCATTTACGTCCGCACGGTTTGTGAGAATAAAAACCTTTGAATATTTTTCCAGACACATTTAGCTGCTAGAAGTTAGTCAGATCAAGTTTATCTGTTCTTCTTAATGCCAACTGTGTAAATAATCATCGATGAGATGCTTATGATAAGCCGTTGTTTGTTTACCTTTAAGGTTTGCATGTGCCTTTAAAACAGCCTGTGAGCACGCACATATTATGAACATCTCGACATGAGAAAGTGATCCTGCGAAAGTTGTTCACAATATTGATCATCCACAGAGTTTGTAATTTAGTCAAATGTTTACAAATACAAGCGCAGCCGTTTAAAGCTCATTTGTGGTGAATGATGTCAGAATTTACCGGTATTTTGGAATGGATGTGTGAATGCTCTTTTCCGGAAAATTTCCGTAACGTCCTCGCCTGTGTGAACAGCGCTTTTTTGAATATACCGGTAAAGTCGTTCCGGAAATTTTCCAGAAATTTACCGGTATCACTGTGTGAAAGGGGCTAATGTGTAGAACGGCCATACATGAGGTTGGTGTCGTGATCTCATACTTTTCAAGTGCGCATGCGCATTAGCTCGGATAACCTGAAAATATGCAGATTTTGTTTGATTCAGACATTTAGAAACAAAACTTATAAGACGGTTGTTGTTTAACCTCATTGATGATTTCTGAATATGTAATGTGATCGTCAGCTTGGCAAACAGTTTTGTAGAATTTGATGTTTCCCCATTCAGACAGAATGCCTGAGCATACTAACCGAGAGGCATTTAAAAGATAGCTGCTGAGTGAAATGACTAGCTTTTAAGGTACTTGGCTGTTTCGCAATTTCATGAGCGCTGAGAATGGACTTGCGTTCTTGTGGAGACCAGTCTTTCCAAGTTACCTCGGAAGAACGATCTTGGGAGACTGCAAATAGAGAGAACGCATCCTAAGAAATGAGATGCTGTGTTCTTCTGCACTTTCAATGGAAAATGATTTAAACATTACAGCATTCATACAATGACTTATTGTTTATTGTTTATATTGTTAACATATATTAAAATATATGTTGCACAATACAAACAAAACAGATTTTTCTATAAATCGACAAATAATTTATTTCTCTATTTACATTTATTTATATCCCTGAGACAAATAAGTTACATCTCTGAACTGTAATAATAAATGTATATTAAATTCTGCCCTTCCCACCTCCTTTAATCGGCCGCAATGACTTCTTGGACTTCGCGAGTGAGTTTTGCACTCAAGTCTGCGCCCTCGATATCAAGAACACATCAGAACTTTCCTCCATTCTTGCAGAGTATTGGAACTGAACTTGTTGATGATGATGTTACACGAGAACACGAGGACGCAAGAATGCTGAAGAACGCATATTGAGAAACAGCCCTCGATACTCTTTAGAATGTCTTGTTTTTAGCAGCAGATGGCGCTCTTGCTAGTTTTTAACTGTACACTCAAGCACTCATGATAATGACAACATTCATTTAATTAGTCATGATGTAAAGTGCTTTTTATGTCACAAGATTAATGTGAACACAGCTTATGAACACTACGAACTCTAGCAGTTCACTTAAACCTTTTAATAAAGTCACTATCACTTTTATGCAATTTGAAATCTTTTGCTTATTTATTGTTTTATTGATTATTACGAAGGGCGACATGGTGGCTCAGCAGTCAGCACTGTCGCCTCACAACAAGTAGGTCACTAGTTTGAGTCCTGGCTGGGTCAGTAGGCATTTCTGTGTGGAGTTTGCATGTTCCTCCGGGTGCTCTGGCTTCCCCCACAATCCAAAGACATGCGGTATAGGTGAATTGATTAAACTAAATTGGTTGTAGTGTATGAGTGTGTATGGATGTTTCCCAGTACTGGGTTGCAAATGGAAGGGTATCCGCTGCGTAAAACATGTGCTGAATAAGTTGGTGGTTCATTCCGCTGTGGCGACCCCTGATTAATAAAGGGACTAAGCTGAAAAGAAAATGAATGAATGAATGAATGAATGAATGATTATTGTGGTGTGACTTTTGGTTTGTTACTGGGATTTTATGTAAGCTTGTAATTCTGTCTTGGGTTGCATTTTTACTTGTATATCTTGTAGCGCTTTGAGTTTAAAAACAGCACATCATAAATAAAAATGATCAATATCCTGAAAGCTTAATTAATGATTATTTTAGGTTCCAGTGGTATTTTGTTTGTAAAGCATACAGTATCATCTGCTGGTAAAAGATGATATAACGAGAGAATAATGATGCATTTTTTTTCAAAATCTCTGAATTGATGCAGAATCGGTTTCTCAAATGATTTTTTATCACAGCACAAACTCCAAAAAAAAAAAATCCCAGCTGTATACAGATTGTATACGGTCAATTAGTACATTTTTGTCATAAGCAGTTTTTTGGATTCAAATATACTGGTCAAACACATTTTGCTTTAAATTTATTCTATAAAAAGTTCAAACCTCAAATTTAGTTTGTCAAGTAAATGAAGTCTTATAAAGTTTCCACAATATAATGTGTTTTTGTTCCCTTACCGATTTCCTCAACTTCATCTTCATCATCTTCTGTATTCTCTGGATCTAAAACACAAACACACACACTTAATCAAAGAGAGAAACTCCGGCATATACAGTAGACTATACTAATATGGTTATTCTGGAGGTAAAAAAAATGATTTCAGAAATGTTTTGTATATATGTGTTGTGCGATTAATCTCCAAGCTCATTAAATAAGGTAAAGGTCCAAAAATAGTAATTTAGCCATCGACCCCCCCCCCCCCATCTTCATGATTTTATAAACTTTTACTGTGTTTTGTCCCTTTAGAACAGGGTTGCCCACTCTTTTTCTTATGAAGGGCCAAAAACCAAACATTATTGAGGACAGTGAGCCAAAGCTAAATATACCAAACTGTCTTACATTAAAAATGCCACGATAATTCGTAATTTAATAATATTTAAAAATTTTATAGTATTAATAATTATATATACAAATTTGGCTTTTTTGTAATGTTGTACTTACAAAAAAAGCATAAACAATCTCATTTATAACACAATGGAGTTTTTTTTTATTTACAAAAAAAAAAAACATTTTTTCTTAATAGTAAAATATATGTGTCCTAATAGGTTTTTTTTTTTTTTTAGCAACGTGCCACACATACAGACATATATCTGTCAACATCTATTAAAAAAAAGTGTTTTTATGTTTCATGACCCTTTAAAAAAATCTCATGAATTCACATTTAATTGAAACATTTAGTTCATTTTTTTTTGTAGCTCAACAATTAAACAAACAAAAAAGGTTTTGTAAATTTAGGAATGACGATCTCTGTTTGAGGGATTCGCCCTAACCTTCCCCATCATTCGTCCATCTCTTCTCTGAATGTTTGGCGGGCCAAATCAAAGGTTACCATGGGCCAACTTTGGCCTGCGGGCCCTAGTTTAGGCATCTCTGCTTTAGAACATAAAAGACGATTGAACGTTGACGATGAGTAAACATGACAAAACTGTTCATTTTTGGATTGGAATAACCTTATAAGGCTAACAGAGAGTGGGTGATTACTGCTGTGATCCAATTATGATTCATTGACTATTATTTACAACTGATTATTAATGTATAGAATGCTAGTTTTTAGTCATATAGTCATACCTTTGCAATCTTCAGGATTCACTTCCAATATCTTTATGTCATCCAGGGAGATGTAGCCAGAGTGTGTAGGATTCACTTGAGCCTCAATGATCACCTAACACACACAAGAACATTACCCTCAAAGTAAATCCCAGTTTTTAAGCATTGAGGGTACACATACAGTCCCAGGGATGTAAATTCATCACCAGAACAGTCTGCATGTACTGTATATGCATCGGCTGATTTTGGGGCTGTGAAAATCTGTAGCAATTGTTTGATGCTATCATGTCAATATAATCCAAAATTTCAGAGGAACATTTCCAGTACCTTACTGAATCTATGCCACAAAGGATTAAGAAAGTTCTTAAGGTAAAAGGGGGTCCAACCTGGTACTAGTTAGGTGTACCTAATAAAGTGGCCGGTGAGTGTAGTTTGCCTTTTTAATCTTTAATTTAAAAATGCACTTCCTTCTGTTTTCAGTTAAATTCTCGAACTACATCTGTCAGATTAAGCATATTTTAGGAATTGGGTGTGGCTTACATAACCACACCCCTCCAACTGTCTACAAACAGATATGGCAAGGAGGAGGTGTCTGTTAGGTTGTAATAAATCTCCCAAAACCATTTTCCAGATCTTTCTGAATGAAATGCCAACTTTACTACATCCAATCACATCGCAATAGTAAATAAGCCACGCCCACTGTTTTCTCATTTAATATTCTGTTTCTCTAGGAACTGCATCACAATGTGAAAAAGAAATGATCGCAGCTGCAAGTTCATGCAGACTTTAACAGGCTGTGCATTCTAAGTAGACTTTAATCTTGAGTATTATGTTTAAATCATGAGATTTGACACATAAATCAGAGTCAGTACCTGGTACGGTGTGTCTGCGCTGGGAAGCAGAACTCTTCCTTCCCTCCATCTGCTTTTGGTCTGGCCGTTCAGCAAGCGGATCAGAATCTCTCGTTCCTCATCCACCTGTTCATGCTCGACCTTCTGCTTAATGTTCAGCGTTCCCGCGTGCTTCTCAGTGAAGTGATACCAAAAGGACATGCATAGGTCTGAATCTGGAGCAGTGACCTGTGAGCTGGCCAGTCTCGCCACCCGTCCTCCTTTCCTCTCCAGCTCTTCATCCGTCTCCATCTCATCCGTTCTCTCCATCTCTGTTTGAGTGTTTGTGTTTGCAGCTGCGTAAATGAAGTTGTTAGGCATCCCTAAAACAGAGGAGAGGAGCAGTCAGATTCTGATTCGCCTGAATGCATCCATTTATTCAACCACTTTGTGTTCTTCATTTATTACAATATTGAAAATCAGTTATTTTTGTGGGTGACACGGTGGCTCAGTGTTTAACACTGTTGCCTCACAGCAAGAAGGTCACTGGTTCGAGTCCCAGCAGGGTCAGTTGGCATTTCTGTGTGGAGTTTGCATGTTCTCCCTGTGTTTGCGTGGGTTTCCACTGGGTGCTCCGGTTTTCCCCACAGTCCAAAGACAACATAAAACATGCTGGATAAGCTGGCGGTTCGTTCCACTGTGGTAACCCCTGATGAATAAAGAGTCTAAGCCGAAGGAAAATGAATGAATGAATAATCTTTGTTAACTGTCTTTAAGTTTTATTTAAAGGCACATTGTATAATTTTCGCCCAATAGAGAGTGCGTATTCGCAACAAACAAAGGTTTAGTTTGATGACTCCATGACTGAGTATGGAATCATGGGAGTTGTTGTCTTCATTACATCCTTCTGATGAAATCATGTTCATGGATGAGCTAAAGTATTCAAAACTTATTGCCATGGTAGTGTGAAGAAGAGTAAGGCTAAAAGCTGTCTAACCAAAATGAGAGAATTGAAGCAATTGCTGACGAGAGATGAATGTGACGTAACATAAAAGCAGCAGAGCTTATATTGTGCCATAGTCCACTGCTTCTGGTTCTTCTGCTTTTGATCACGGGTAGAAGAGTCAGTGATGTTTTATCAAACTAAATACAGTTTATGGTTCTGTTATAATGCTGCTCTGTGCAGTCTAAAAAATGCACAACATATTGAAGTGTTTTTGGTGTTTTGCTATATTTATATAAAACCAGATTTGAGGGTGTGTGACATCATTAGAATATAAAAATTAAGACACTCTCCGTCTCACTAGTTAAAACTGCTTATTTCTCTGGATTTGAACATTAATCGAAACATTTGGGATAATGTAAATACATAAGTCAGCAAAATACATAACACTGTTAACTAGTGATTTTAGGATATTTTAATAACTAATTTATAAATATGATGCCTTTATTTAAAAAAAAGAAAATATTTCCAGTGTTTTCACTGGCAAACTTACATTTATTGTATGAATGAATAAATGAATTAATTAATTCATTTTATTTTTGGCTAAGTCGTTTTATTAATCTGGGGTCGCCACAGTGGAATGAACCGGCAACTTATCCAGCATATGTTTTAGGCAGAGGAACCCATCACTGGGAAACATCTATACACTCTCATTCACTACTGACTATTTTAGCTCACCCAATTCACCTGTACCACATGTTTTTGGACTTGTAGGGGAGGCACCTGGAGGAAACCCAATCGAACACGGGGAGAACATGCAAACTCCACACAGAAATGCCAACTGATCCAGCCGGGGCGCAACCTTCATGCTGGGAGGTGATTGCGCTACTCACTGCGCCACCGTGCTTCCTAATTTTATAAATGTCAACAAACTTTGATGGCTTCAAGAGATGCCAAAAAATTTGGGACAGAGGCTACAAAAAGGCCAAAAGTTTTTTGAAAATGGAAACAGAATTCTCTGGCTCAAAGTCCAAAGGGACCATTCAGAGTTTTGTGAGTGACAGGTGAAAAAGAAAATGTCTGTCACGGTATGTGGAGCAGCAGTGCAAACAGCATTAGTAAGTAGCCTACTGTAAGTGCAAAGAAACCACTGGCATGGAGGCATATATTGGGAATGTACAGAGTTATATATTTTGCCTTCAATTCATCCATCCCAACTTGCTCCATCGACAAAATATATGTACATTTACAGAATACAGATTATTTGGTGAGTAAAAACACTGGACACCTTTTTGGCACTTTTGTCAATTGAATAAAGGTTGGAAAGAATTAACACAAATACATATTCAATATATGCTGCATTTAAATACTTTTCCTAACTTTTTCAAAGTTGGGGTTGGTTTTTAGGGATTAAGAAAGTACATTTAGAAATGTATAAATCTAAAGTTTAGGCTAGTCTAATGCAGTGGTTCTCAGTCCCGATATTCTTACAGTCTAAGTGATGTCCACTTACAGCCGAATGGAACAAACTTCTGAAATGGTTAGAGAAACATACAAATTTCTCTATTTAATGATCTATGAGCATTATCTACAATACACAGTGCAGGTGGTGTAGATTTAAGGCATGTTTGTATCTACTTTTGGTATTTTAAGGATTGGAAAAATGGTTGACGCACCCAAAGCATGCTATAAAAGGGTTGCCTTTATTCGGGTAACAGGTGTGTTTTGTGCACTAAACCTATCAGAGTCTCATCTACCATTCTCTTTAAGAGTAAGTTGTGATGATTCCTGTGTGTGTAATAAGCAACATGTACACTTTGTGGAACCACCGATCACTAACAATTTCTTTAAATAACAAAAACAGCACCATTGACTGTAGACAATTTTTTTGTCAATAGTGCTGTCTATTACAGTTGCTTCAAAATAACAATGGACCAACAATGCATTTACCAAACTTTCTTTTCACACCGGCATGCTCATTAGAGCACAACTGAGCTCAAATTTAATTGCTATTCAAGTAATGTGGAGCAGAACATGAAAATTATATCTGCAAGGGGCTAAAACTAGCATAGAAAAAAAAATTGTGCCAGGTATATAACAGAGCCCAAAATGTACAGAGTTGGGCTTTAGAGGATCAGGATTGAAAACTGCTGGTCTAAAGCATGAATCAATTATTCTTACCCGTGTGGTCCAGACTAGGCAGTTTGTGATCGGCATGTTTGCTATTGTTGTTTATATGCCATTCGGCTCCTTCTCCGCCATCTTGGCTCCACCCACAATAGGATGGATGATCGATCCAGCCAAAATCACAGGCAAACCAGAGATATGCTAAAAAAGAACAAAAAGAGAAACTTTACAGTCATCCATAGTGCATTTACTTTCCATTCAACCCATCTAAATATGATTAAGTAATCTGCAATAAATAATACAGTGTGTTACTGACCAACCACAGCATCTTATTAGTCGAAGCTTTGCTCACCCTGTTGAAAAATCCAGCTTAAACCAGCCTAGGCTGGTTGGCTGGTTTTAGCTGGTCAACCAGGCTGGTTTTAGAGGGGTTTTGGCCACTTCCAGGCTGGTTTCCAGCAATTTTCAGCCTGGTCTTAGCTGGTTAGGCTGGGAGATGACCAGCTAAAACCATCTTGACCAGCCTAGCAGGCTGGGAGCCCAGCCAAAACCAGCTATGTCCAGCTTAAACCAGGCTGGTCAAGCTGGTTTTAGCTGGATTTAGCTGGTCATCTCCCAGCCTGACCAGCTAAGACCAGGCTGGAAATGGCTGGAAACCAGCCTGGAAGTGGCCAAAACCCCTCTAAAACCAGGCTGGTCAACCAGCTAAAACCACCCAACCAGCCTAGGCTGGTTTAAGCTGGATTTTTTAGCAGGGCAATTTTTCAACAGTAGGTTCAAACCCCGCTGGGAAGTAAAGTGACATAAAGCAAGCCTATATCCACCTATAGTAAAATCTGCTAAATCACCAATAACTGTTGGCCATTTGCTCAGCACTGCATTAGGATCTCAAACTCTGACTCCAGTACACCTTACGATCTTACAGAGAAAGCTACTTTAATTAGGGATGCACACATTATTGTTGCAGCAGCAAAATTGTGATGTGCAAATCCATAATTGTCACATCACAATAGTCCAGTAGAGATCATTGTTGACCAGGAACCACAGTTCAGAATGCATGTGATTTAGGGGTTAATTGCAAAGTTTAAACAACATTTTAAGGTCTGTTACATTCCAAGCGAGTTAAAAAATGAGTGCCTTAATTATGTAGCTTAAATTGAACAAATATTAATTAAGATTAAGTGTATTTGACTTATGCAGTATGGACTACACGGTGTTATTTTACATTGGACTACTTAAGTTATGTCCCATCCCGATTTTCATAGAGGAATAAAAATGGCTATATATTGCAATGCCAATTTCCAATTTCATGCAGTATATTTCAATGACCTGTGATTCTTTTCATAATGAACGCCCATTGTCAGGGTTGGTGATGGGAAATGGGGAAAAAGGAGCGAGGACTCAAATGCAGGGAAATGGGATTTTATTAAATAATAAAAATAAAATAAAATGCAAAATAAACTACCCCGAGGGGGAAAACATTAACAAAACAAATACATACACATACAAACAGGACTGGGCAGACTGGCAAGGATGAGGACTGGAAACACAACAGGACTAGACTTCAAACGACGAAATGTGATGACGAACTGACACAGGACAGCAAAAGTGAGGGGTATATAAACTGTAGAAAATTAACACACAAACAGGTGAACACAATTAACTAATAATGGGTTAACAAGGAGGGTGGGACAGGACAATAGACGGGAGAGCGCATGACACAGAGAGACAATACAAGCCATGCGCTCACATAACACAAGAACATGCAGCCAATGAGAGAACTCATTAACCGCATGTTCATGACAACAAACACAACACTGAAGCACACGACAAAAGCACGTGACCACAATGTAAACATCGAGCCACGTGCTTTGACAAGAGACGCAAGACACGAGCACACGATGAATGAAAACTCACCATGCGCTCACATATGCAGCATGCATGCTTCATCCCAGCGCCGACCAAAACCGAAACCAACAAGACTGAGACGCTGGGAATGAAACACCATGCTGCTGACAGACGAAAACACAAACACGAGTACAAGAGCCCACGCGTCTGAGGGACGCAGAGCGCGCACGCGGCCACGTCAAGCAGGAGCGCGCACACTCTGCGTACACCCACGACGGCGCGCGCACACAGAGACAGAAACAGGACCAGACATGAGTAGCGTCAAAGATCTGCCACCAAAACAAGAATTTACAAGATCAGAGTGGCAGAACCCTGACACTACCCCCCCCAAAAGGGACGCCACCTGGCGTCCCTAAAGGGAACATCCAACAAGGTACAAGACAGACAAGAAACACCACAAGACAACAAAACAGGCAACATCAACAAACAAGACAGGGAGGTGAACAGGCAAGACATGAAGGGGGGGAGGGAGGGGAGCCAAGTCAGACCCAACACGACAAACAAGGGAGGGATGGGAGGGCAAGACAAGAGAGGATCAGTCCAGGGTGGGACCGGAGGAACTGTCCAGGGTGGGTCCAGCGGGTCGAGAGCCCTAGCAGGGAACCAGGGTGGAGCCGGAGGGTCCGTCCAGGGTGGAGGAAAGGAACACCAGGGAGGGGCAGGAGGGACGACCCAGGGAGTGTCTATGAGGGGAAACAAGACCAGAGGTCTGTGGGGGGCCGGCAGGGCAAGGAGCCGGGCTGGGACCGGCAGGGCAAGCAGAAAGGGCTGGGGACGGCAGGGCTAGACGTACTGGGTGGTGCCGGCAGGGAAAGACGTCTGGTTGGTGCCGGCAGGGCAAGGAGCCGGGATGGGGCCGGCAGGGCTAAACGTTTGGTAGGTGCCGGCAGGGCAAGGAGCCGGGCTGGGACCGGCAGGGTTAGACGTCTGGTAGGTGCCGGCAGGGAAAGGAGCCGGGGTGGGGCCGGCAGGGCTAGACGTCTGGGTGGTGCCGGCAGGGAAAGACGTCTGGGTGGTGCCGGCAGGGCAAGGAGCCGGACTGGGACCGGCACTGAGCGGCGCTCAGGGGCTGGAGCCGACACTGGAGGGCGCTCAGGGGCTGGAGCCGACACTGGAGGGCGCTCAGGGGCTGGAGCCGACACTGGAGGGCGCTCAGGGGCTGGAGCCGACACTGGAGGGCGCTCAGGGGCTGGAGCCGACACTGGAGGGCGCTCAGGGGCTGGAGCCGACACTGGAGGGCGCTCAGGGGCTGGAGCCGACACTGGAGGGCGCTCAGGGGCTGGAGCCGACACTGGAGGGCGCTCAGGGGCTGGAGCCGACACTGGAGGGCGCTCAGGGGCTGGAGCCGACACTGGAGGGCGCTCAGGGGCTGGAGCCGACACTGGAGGGCGCTCAGGGGCTGGAGGCGACACTGGAGGGCGCTCAGGGGCTGGAGCCGACACTGGAGGGCGCTCAGGGGCTGGAGCCGACACTGGAGGGCGCTCAGGGGCTGGAGCCGACACTGGAGGGCGCTCAGGGGCTGGAGCCGACACTGGAGGGCGCTCAGGGGCTGGAGCCGACACTGGAGGGCGCT